TTTTTTTTTTTTTTTTCCTTTTTTTTTTTTTTTTTTTTTCCTGCTTTAGACTTGAAAAGAGACAGGCAGGTGATCTGCTACAGAGCAATTTAAGGGAACAAACTGAGCTATGACTTACTGTAGCCAGAACGTGAGTGGTTGAATCTCATTAAAAAATATCCAATTAATTGTGTGAAGTTGGAAGCACACCAATCTTACTTTGTAAATTCTGATTTCTTTTCACCATTCGTATATAATACTGAACCACTTGTAGTTTTGATTTTGTTGTTGTTGTCTACTGCATTTAGGGAGTATTCTAATAAGCTAGTTGAATACTTGAACCATAAAATGTCCAGTTAGATCACTGTTTAGATTTGCCATAGAGTACACTGCCTGCCTTAAGTGAGGAAATCAAAGTGCTATTACCAAGTTCAAGGTCAAAAAGGCTTATAAAACAGTCATCTTGGTTCACCGTTGAGACCCGGGAGGATACTTTGTATTGTCCTATTAGTGTTATATGAACATAAGACTGCATCTTTGATGTGTTGTTCCTGGCAATAAATTTTGAAAAGTAATATTTATTAAATTTTTTTGTATGAAAACATTGGAACAGTGTGGCCTCTTCTGAGCTTATGTAGTTCTTGCTGCCTTTTCCATCCCACTGTTTGGTGCTGGTCATTCCGTCTGATGGAGCTTCTGGGAGGGGCCTGGGTGATGCACTTTTGAAGGCTTTCAAACAGCAATGCTTACCTGAGTTCTCAGAAACATCTTGGGGCTGCTGTGAAGGTGGGAGCTGTGGGAGCCCTGGATTCCCTTGTTATTTGACAAGTGTGAATACTGCTTGAATAAATACCACTGGATTGATGGCTTGCAGTGTGGAGGTGAATTGTTTGGGAGCACTCACAGGGAATGCCCACTGTACTAACAGGGTTTTTAAACAGTTTGGGATTGGTGTTGGGGTACAGAGGGAAACAGTGTTCTCTCATTCTTCTTGCTGTCATTAAATACCACACCCTATGGCTTTATGTGTATGCCTATCCTGGAGATTTTCCTTGTCACACAGTGGGTAGTCTGGTGTTAGGGCCTGTAGTCTGTTAGGGTAGTCTGGGTCACCACCTTGACCCAGAGTATGAATGTTGGGCTGCCTCATTATGCAGACCTTGGTTGCTGGGTATCTGACTTGCCAAGAACTTACTAGACCATACTGACCTCCATATCTGTAAAGGACAAGAGCTGTAGCCCCTGGTGGCTCCAGTAGGCCTGTTCCCACACTGCCAGGTTCAGGAAGCTGGCCTCTGGTTCCTCTTCAGCAAGGGATAAGTTGTGAAAGCCACATGGACACGTTCCAGCAGCTGTGCAGAGTCACCTGGAATCCCCTGCTTCTGGTTAGAGGAAGCCAAAGCTTACCTTTGTCCCAATGCTCCCCAGCACCTAGCATTCAGGCCTGTCTAGGAGCCCCTGAAATTCATGCTATAATACAAACTTGGTGAACCAACATGGAAGAGGCATGCTCTGCTGTTTGTGTCCTGGGGAATTTTCTCTTTTTCTACCAGTCTAGGGATTATTCTCAGGTGGGGAACTCATTCTAGGATGAGTGAAGGGCTTTAATCATCCCCCGAACCCCTGTGCATGAACAGAAACCATCCAAGGCTTCAATGTCTCTACCAGTGCCTGCAGTGTTTTGTTTGGGTGCCTCATTGAGGTGCTTCAGAAGGACCCACATTCCCATGACATCTTGCCTTGGTGGAGCAATACTTTGTCATTAATCTCTGCGAGTGGACAGCTGGTTTCTGAAAGGTGGGGTCAGAGAGGGAGAAGTAGTGACCCTATAAGCCAGGAGACAGTCTTGTTAAACAGCCCCAGATTCAAATAGCATTCTGAAGTAATACCTTGTTCTGGTGGTTTGTAAACTTGGATTCTGCAGGACTCTAGAATTCCTTGGATAGCTGCCAAGTAGTTTTGTGCCAAGAAAAAAAATTAATGAGCTTCTGCAGTTCTTCATTCCAGGAGGGAAGTGATCTTGAGATTCATGGGTGTTGTCTTGAGGAGCCTTTGGTCCCGACACTGAGTAGTGGGAGGGCATAGGTCAGGCTCCTGTGGGCATGGCTCAAAGCCAGGATTATGGAGAGAGAAGGAAGCAAAGGAGGCCCAGTTATGCTGAGGTGGGGGTGGCGGGTAGAAAAGAGGACTCAGCTTTAGTACCCTGGAGATGTTCTCAGCCCTCCTTGAAGCTTTAGGGGAGAAGTTTCAGTCCATAACCTCACTAGCTGGAATCCTAACGTTAGAATATGCCATGAGACTCCAGAAGAGAACTACCCTGCAGCTGGCCATCCCACCAGAGAAAGTCCCCAGTTTCTAGACAACTGTGGAGTAGGAGGCAGGTGAGACTGTCAGGAAGCACGCCTCCAACTTTGTTCAATGCAGAACCTCAGGCCCAGCCCAAGACCCTACAGGATCAGAACTCACCAAAGTGGGGTCTCCGACTCTCCGTTCTCAACAAGCTTTCGCCTCTGTCCCTTCCCCCTTTTGCTTACACACAGTAAAATTTGAGAACAGCTCCACTGAAGTATTAAAGTATATACTCTTCATTAATTACAATGTTTTTCCTCCTTGTTAAATGGAATTAAATAGCCTGGAAGCCAGTTTGTTGCTAAATTACCACCTGACATCATTTTTAAGTAAAATGATTACACTGCCCCTTAAGCAAGTTGTGGTCTATGTGATTCATCTTTATTAGCTGATCTGAGGGGTCAGTGAGTCAAAGTTAACTTACTTAGTGATATTTCTTTGGTAGAAAGGAGCCAAAGCAGAAGCCAAACCTTCCTACATGTTATACCTGCTTGTCACAAAGTGAGTAAGCTGCTAAGTATCAGCTGCTTTTAAAGAAAAACAAAACAAAAAATCATCCTGGAGGCCCATCGGGGTTTGAACTTCAGCTGAATGAAGCACCACCACTTCCGTTTTGACTGTGGGTTGCTTTCTTGCCTCTACTGGGAATGAGAAACAGGAGTTCAGAGGTTCCCGGGCTGGAAAGACATAAGCACACGGGTTATGGGAAGCCTTCTCCTGCTAATGTGTATTTATACTTTGTAAGCTCTGATTCATCTGAGCATTGGAACACAAATCTGCTTCCTGAGGTTCAGTTTTTAAATAGATAGTTTGCAAAAACAACAATTATTTTTCTTAACATTTTTTTTTTTCCTCACCACACAAGCAGCTAAACATCCTGGCTCAGACTATGTCAGTCGTTAACAATGCCAACAAATGGCTTGGTTATCTAAGGTAGAATGGGGGACCCCCTGAGGCAGTTCTTTGAGGTTCTTGTCCCAGAAGCCTTAAAAACAAAGTTTAGAAGCCATTAGGACAATCTTGTTGCATCACTTCAAATTCATGCAATGTTTCAGGGTGTACTAAAAGTAATGTATTTTCTTTGGTGAGCAATTGCTTTCCGGTGGTCGTGGGAAGGGCAAGCAAGGTTGGGGTGGGTGCTTGCAGGGCTGTGCCTGTGTGGTTGCCTGGCAGTCAAGGGGCCTAACACCTGTATGGCATCCTCTGCGACCATGTCAAAAGGGTGTGGCTCCCTTGCTTTGGACATATATTCTACCTGCAATACTTGCTCTTGCATGCCAGGTACAACCTTTCTGGCATAGAGTTTGTTTCTTTCAAGTCCAAAGCAGCTTTTACAAGTCTCAAATTATGTATCATTATGCACGGGTCCAGTATTAACCTGTGATATGCAAGTCAGGGAAATTATCTTAGAGTAAAAGGCTCTTAAATCTAGTAAGAGCCTTGAATGGAAGTCTGCCCATAGCCTCTCCAACCCACTCCTCTAAAAATACCCACACCAGAGTACCAAGGGTTGAATTCTCTATCTCCAGAGCCAAAACAGATACCAGCAACATGAAAGTTACAGCTTAGTTTTAAAGTCATGTTGTCCCGGCAGGGTGTGTGTGGCTCCTGGTGACTCCAGGGGAGGCACAGGTTTGCAGCTGCCTTCCTAATGACTACTCAGGCAGCCATACTGATTGTTCCCTCTGTGATTAGCATAAGGAGGTTGAAAAATGTCTTTGCTTCATCCTCACAGAGAAATGCAGTTGAAAAGGCTTCATCCAAGAGTCACTGAACACTCGTTTAAGCTGTGATCTTCCCAGGATCCAGAAGGGCAAAACTGAGGCCTCAAGAGGTTTGGGGGTTCTTCAGACAGCAACAGCCAGGGCTAGAACTTGGAGCCCCTCCTTCCTGGGCTGTTCGGTGTTGTGCTTCATCTGGGAATTTACCAGATTTATGCCAGGATCCAGCCTGGTCTGAGATCTTCATGAAGCACTGTGATCAGTGCTAAACAGGAAATAAATGCAAATGGGGCTCATGGGGGCTCCAAGGAAAAGACTCTGTGACATACCCGAACTACATTTACCTCGATAATGGCATCTCCCAGTCAGGGAGCAATAGATGCTTTCTGAAGCACAGATGAAGTCCCAGCCCTTTGGGCTGTTGCTTTGTTCTTGGGAAGTTTCGGACTTCCTCTTCAGGTTCGGCTTCATAGAATTAGAAAATGAATTGCAGGAAAGGGGGTTCTGAGAGGAAACAGACAGGTCTCCTAGGTTTCACCTTTCCCTTGCTTGTGTGCACATGCAG